GCCTGCGCGCTTGCGAGCGGTGACGCTGGAGTCGGTGCTGTTGGGTCATCTTCGTCAGGCACATTACCAGCAGGCGCGGTGGAACCGCAGACCTGGCTCGACAGCTTCTGGAAACCATCCTCCATAGCCTGGGCCAACCGGTGGGTGTACTGAGCCAACTCGGCAATCGCTTGTGTCAGGTCCGCCGTTGAGAGCACTGGAGCCACCGTTGGCGTCGCTGAGGCTGCCGTGGGCTCGGTTGTGGTAGCTCCCGGCGAGGCCGCGACCGCTACCGAGATGGTCGGCACTGTCGCAGGAGTTAGCGGTGTCGTGTTCGCCTCTGTCACGACGAGCAGTCCCTCCGGTACGTCCTCTTGTTTCGGGACTCCCAGCCGTCCGCCGGGCACCGGGCTCAACTGACCTGCCGTCGCGGTACGCGACGACATGTTCTCGTAATACGCCGCTAGTTCTTCCAGGCGGGGTCGGTACTCTTCTTGGGCCGACTTCACGAACGTTGCCAGCCGCCCCCGCAAAGCCTCCACGGTGCCGGTCTCCTCGATGTCGAACTCGCGCAGCACCGTGCTGAGCTCTTCCTTCCGCAGCACGCGAATCCAGCTCGTTCGTAGCATCGTAGGTCTCCCCTACTTGGTCGGATCTAACCTCACACTTCTTTGGGGTCCCTGCTCGGGCGCCACTTGTAACGTTGTTACTCTGCCGCGGGTATGCTCGCCGGCCAGAGTATGCTGTAATAAATTAGGCACCCCAAAGTGCCGAGGTGTCCACCAAATAAAAGAGGGCGGTATGCCCAAACTTCTCCACGTGTTTCTTTAATTGTAGAACAACATATAGAGCGCTTCAGTGCGCGTTGGGCCTGAGCCAGAAGAGAACCAGAAGTGCACTAACTTAAAACGAATTTACAATTACTTGCCTTCATGGCTTACTGTTCTTATAATTACTTGTACTTATAACTACTCGTAATGACGCACAGCTGGTTGCTGCGCAACGCGTCGTTACAGGTTATATTTCAGGGCTCTTTTTGTCGCATGTGCGGCTGAAGTACATATAATAGATTACTCAAACTTTGAGACAGTGACACTAACCACAGGAAAAGCACTAGTACAAACAGGGACGTACAGACTCGTACACATAATCGGACTCGAAGACTACCAAAGAACTTTGGACATAATAAATACGACAATACGAACGAGACTAAGGACATATGACCCTATTCGCCCATACGCCTCTGAAGAAATCAACAGGCTACAAAACTTTCTGGACAAACTTAAGACAAACAGACGAAGCAAAAGACATATAGATTTGCTGGGAGCCGCCTGGAAGTGGATAGCCGGTTCGCCTGACAGCAGAGATTTCGAAATAGTTCAGGAAAAAACAAATAATATACTTCAAAATAACAATCTTCAGGTCATAATAAATAAACAATTAACAGAGAAACTGAACGAAATAGAAGACAAAACACAAAATTTGGCAAACAGCTTAAATTATGAGGGTAATGCAGAGAGAGACTTAGGCATCACCTTGATGTATCAGTTACGTATACTGAAGGACGAGATTCTCAACCTCGTATACGCTGTCCAATGGGCAAAGGTAGATGTTAGCAACCCCGAGATTTTGAGCAAATCAGAAATAAGTAAAATAAAACAGGTCATAGATCAGGATCAAATTCCATATGTTAATCTTGAGGAAGCTTTGCAAACAGCAGAAATAAGCATCGCAAGTTGTAATGAAACATTAATCTACATTCTAAAAATCCCCATAACGAATAAAGAACCTTGTGAAGAAATAATAGTAAAACCCATAAAAAAGGGTCAATTTGTTGTTAAGCTAAATTCAGAAAAATTTGTTAGATGTAAGCAAATATTGTACAGGGTAGAAAATGTATGTAAACCCTATAATCAAGTAAAGATATGTAAGAATAAGAACATTGTCAATATCACCATCTCAACCTGCCTACCAAATCTTTATGATTTGTTCTAATTGATCTCAATAAATTATAAGATATTATTTAAATATTATGTTTATTGCATTCAAATTTCGATGTATCGATAGTATCGATGGATTCAGCTATCGAAAGTTTAAATCTAGCAAATTGAGATGGGAAGAGTCAGTGCTTTTTGATCATGGCTCACCGCTGCAAGGCATTGACACGAGTGCCGTGTTTCATATTCGGAGTTCGTGCGTGATCGTGTTGACTTAATAAGGCACGAAGACACAAATTTGAATTTAAAATTAGGATATACTCTTATAATTGTTCTCCTTTTCTGCACACAGTCTATCTTAAAACGTTGCATTTTCTCTATATATATCAAACATTTTGTCCTGACTAACTGATTGATTGGTGATCAACGCACAACCCGAACGGTAAAAGCTAGGAAGCTGAAATTTGGACTCAAGTATCACATAGTATCCATCACAGTGTAAGTGTGCACTTAAAAAGGCTTTTGGAAAATTTGAGCTCCAAAGGGAGGAAAACGAGACTTAAAATATATTAGTTATAGTGGTCATGTGTGTGTAATACTTTGGAAAGAACCAAAATGTAACGGACTACTGAATAATATTTTGTCAAGAACAGAAAATGTTCATTTAAATACCTAAAATGCCTTCGTACTGGGAATTAATAAGGTGAAAATATAAGGGTAGGTCATGCACACACACGAAATAAATACAATTTGACGCATTATATTGAGCCGGGGTTTTGCTTCTGCTAGAGAATAAAATTATTAGATTTTTACTTTTATTTTTTTTATATAGATAATAGATATTGATAATTAAAAATCCATAAATTTATTTAGTATTTAATAATTTGATCAATAAGTTAACGCAAAGAAATTTTTCATAGAAAATTTATATATGTGCAAATGAAAAGAAATTCAAAATTTAATTATTATTTGTTTTGAATACAATTTACTTATAATTTTAGTAAGATATAGTGTCTCCCTTTTGTTATACGGCCTATTGCAACCAGGACATGGATTAACTAACTTTTGAAGGACGATTATGTCAATTTGTTGCCATTCCTGGCAATGGCCTCTCTTACATTTTTTAAAGGGACAAATTGTTTTCCACACCTAAGAACTTTGCCTGATAGGATGCCCTAAAGGTCCTCAATTGGATTTAAATCCGGAATTTTTGCCGGACAATGCATTAAGGGGATATTTCTTGTCTAGAAAAACGTCATGCTATACCGTGCAACGTGTACTGGGGCGTTAACCTGCTGAAATTTCCAATCCTATCCATGGAACTCTTTTGGAAATGGTATAAGTTCGCTGTCCAGGAGATCCGCATACATTTGCGCTTTCAGCCGATCTGGTATAAAGCATATTGATAGCTTCCCAAGGGAACTTAAAGCCGCCCATACCATGAGTACCATACCGCCATACCGCCATTTCATGTCGGTGCAATGGCTTTGGTTTATGTACCTTGGCGTCATATTGGAGATCCATTTCCTTTCTCCAAATTTTTTGCAACTGTAGCCCAGTTATTTGCATTTTTAATCCTGCCCCAATTTGGGCTCAGCTCATTACTTTGGTGGTTGCCAAAGCTCGAATATGCCGTTAAGTGCGGTCACCAACTTTGGGAACTGCCCTTTTCCGGTTGTTTTGAACATATTTTAGCGGATATTTTAAAAAGTTTGAGACGGTATTCCGATGCTTGTTTATTGCTTTAGCAATAACACAGACTTTAATGCCATAATCAGCCATAGTTTTGATTTTGATTTTACTTTCTGTGCTTAACTCGTTTTCGCGGGGTATTTTATATAATTATTAATTTTAAATTCGCCAAAACACAACGATACGGCTTTTAATAAGCCTCCAATAAACCTTCTTAACAATTCAATTTTTTTCTGGAGATAATAAGTGTAGTTCAGACTTAAAATGTGAAAGGTTAAAATGCACATTTATCAATTTGTTATGAAATGACCTGGGATTCTTTTAAGCTAACGGTGCTTGAGATTAAGAGCTGATAAGAAACGAATGTATGAGAAAGCAACACATAGTAAAAGAGAAAAAAATTGTATACATAAAACATTAAAACATCTATTAAAATAGCGGTAATATCAAAAACAAATTTTGCACATATCAATTTTACTGAGTTATATATATATAAGGAAACGTTTCACAACTTCCTTGTAGTATTCTTTATTAACCATACGACCTGTTGAAAACAGTGAGCTAAACCTTCACCTTTCCTTTCCTTCGATTGTTGCTAAAGCCTCTTTTTATACCCTGTAGCCAAAGGGTAAACGGGTATATTTATTTTGTGCGAGTGTACATGGAACACACAGAAGGAGGCGTGGCAGACCTCACAAAGTATAAATATTCTTGATCAGGATGACAAGCCGAGTCGATATAGCCATGTCCGTCTGTCTGTCTGTATGAACGCAAGGATCTCAGAAAGTATAAGAGCGAGAATAACCAAACTTGGTATCCAGATTCTCCTGAGCCCGAGTTTGTTCATTTCTTCTGATGCACCCCCACACTCCCCTCCTATTCTCTCTATAACTCCCGTAATTCTTGGAATTTTGAACTAAAATTTGGTAGTCAGTCCAGTTAGTGATTATATATCCGTATACCAAGCTTTATTATGATAGGTTGATTAGAAAGAAAGTTACAGCCATATAACCAGGCCCAACCTCTGTCCGCAGCTGTATTTGTTGCTGCATTGACATAATTATGTAATGCACACATACATATGTACAAGTACACAAACACGCATAGGCACGATTCTGATGCAAATGTAAATGTATGTATGGAATATTTTATATTTAATTTAATTAATTAATCAAATTAATTATTTAATACTTTTTTTTGTGGGGTGGTACAGGGTATTTAAGAGTTGAGCCTGCTCGACTTTAGCATTCCTTTCTTGTTCAAATTTATTAGAGCACAGCTTATGTGTTCTTTTTAAAACTATGACATATATGTGGGTTTTCAGCTGGTTATATGGATGCCTTGACATTTATAAATAAAGTTTAGATTTCAAGTGCTGCACTAAGTACTTACTCTAGAACAACTTTCACTAGTGGCACAAATACCGAAATTTGTAAATCAGATCTTGTCATTGTTTTGTGACAGAAGTCGTCCAACTCCTCTGTCTCACCAGGTAGAAAAGAATTTTGACCTAAAAAATTAAATAATATTTTGTTTATTAATATAACATTTTACACTTACGTAAATTTGAAATTTCGTATACATTTTACTTAAAAATGAATGTTTGCCGACTTCAGAATGTGGGTTTTACCTGTTTCGTATTGTAGTCCTTCCACGGGTGATGTGAAACCATATGTACATTTGGAACTAAAAGGCGAATGATTTTTATCATTTACGTCATCAGGCAGAGAGTGTGAGATTTGCTTTGCTTGTTCAACATCAATACAAATGCTGTAAAAAAATTTAGAATTTCAATTAAGATAAAGATTTACTTTGACCGGCATAATACAAGTGTGTAAGAGTTTCTTAAGAAGTCAAGAATAATATTAAATTTTGAATTCATATCGTTTAATTTAAATAAACCTACAATTGTTATGATACGTGAATTTCAAGGGTGACAAAAATTTATTTTAATGTTTTAATACCCTATAGCCAAAGGGTGCACTACTTAGTAGGTGTACGTAAAAGAAAGGAGGCGTTTAAAATCCCCAAACTATTTATAAATATTCTTAATCAGTACGGCAAGAAGAGTGGATACAGCTATTAATGTCCATCTATCCGTCTGTATAAGCGCAAGTGTCTCAGAGGTATATAGGAAGTTTTTTTTACCACTCTTCAATGGGAAAAGTTTTGTTTTATTATCGTGTGCTCCGTTATTATTATTATTCTACTAGCAGGTATTGCCCGTCTTAACCCGGTTCAATATAATGTTTCAAATTGTATTTATTTTGTGTGTGCATGACTACCCATATTTAAATGAAAATGTTCTGTTCTTGACAAAAAATTGTGCAGTAGTCTGTTACATTTTTGTTCTTGCCAAAATATTTCGTTGAACGTACACACACATGACCACTATCTATATATATAAAACAGTTTGTCCTGACTGACTGACTGATTGGTGATCAACGCACAGCCCAAACGGTAAAGGCTAGGAAGTTGAAATTTGGACTCAAGTATCCTTTCATAGTCTAGGTGCCCACTAAGAAGTTTTGGAAAACTCGAGGTCCAAAGGGGGGAAACAGGCTCCAACGTTTGTATGAAAAATCTACAGTTTTGATCTGATTAACTTCAAACTTACTTTGTATACTCTCAGAACAATTCCAAGAAAAACTGTATACTTGGTTTTTTGATATATTTTTTGGGCCCTAAAATATGGGAGTTTTCCTGTAAAAAAATGTTGGGGCACAAAAGAAAACCGCATCAACACCCCACAGCCCACACGGTAAGAGCTAGGATGCTGAAATTTGGGCTCAAGTATCCTATCATGGTGTAGATGCGCACTAAGAAGGGATTTTGGAAAATTCGAGCTCCAAAGGGGGAAAACGAGCTCCAAAGTTTGTTTGAAAAATCCGCATTTTTTAGCCGATCGACATAAAACTTGGTTTCTGAAATCAATAAAAAAAAAATACAAAGAAAACTGCATACGCGGTTTTTTAAATTTTTTGTTGGAGCTTGAATTATTGGGGTTTTCTTGGGGCACAAAAGGAAACCGCGTCAACAGCGCACAGCCCAAACGGTAAGAGCTAGAAAGCTGAAATTTGGGGTCAAGTATCCTATCATAGTGTATCCTATCATAGGGTATTCGAGCTCCAAAGGGGGGAAAAGTAGCTCCAAAGTTTGTTTGAAAAATCCGAAATTTTCGACCGATTGACTTAAAACTTAGTTTCTAAAATCAATTAAAGAATACAAACAAAATTGCATACTAAGATTTTCGAAATTTCAGTTGGAGCTTGAATTATTGGGGTTTTAATATTTATTCACTATTTCAAATGAAAAGTTTGTGTTATAAATTTAGTCCGATCGATTTAAAATTTGGATAATGTAATCTACGTAACTAAATCTACAACTTTGCATTCAAGGATTTTCAAAATATGCATTTTACAAAAGCAGGCAGAACAAACAATACCAAATATCAAACAGTTAGGGAAAACTAAGTATACATACACACACACACACACACACACACACACACATGCAAGCAGCTGTTCGTGTAGTTGAGTGCAAACGATTGAAATAGCCAAAGCAAAATGTGGGACACTAATGTGTGAATGTCCATACATATGTGCACATCTATGTATGTACATATGTATCTACATATGTATGTATGTACATTCGTCTTGCACTGACAGAGCAAGAAATGTTAATTAATTGAAAATTATATAACATTTTTGAAAGTAATTTTTTCTTTGTTTAGTGCATTTGGCATTAGGGTTTTCATTAATAACTTTATGCAGCAACAACAAATATCAAATAGTTGGGGACATCACATACACACACTCACACACACAACAAGCAACAGTTCGTGTCTATGTGTGCGGTTCTCTACGTACGGTTGAAAAAGTAAATAGAAACATACATATGTATGTATGTATGTATGCCAGTGTATGAATACAGCATGTATGTATGTATGTCTGCCTGTGTATGAATATAGCATGTATGTACATTCGTATTAAAGTATACATTGGGCAATCGAACACAGTTGTTTGATTGTAAAAAAAATAATCCTCAAAAACAACAACAACTGCAAGTCATTGGCTCGCTCTTCTTCTTTCGTTTTGACCATTTAATGTTAATTGCAAAGGCAAAACGCCAAAAGTTTACAGTTACCGTCGCTAGGCAACGACTGCGTAAGCGATAGTAAAGCAGAAACCGAATAACGGAGCTACGCATATTCTGCTTCGCATTGCGGGCAGATGTATGTATGTATATGATTTGTTCTTATTGATCTCAATAAATAATTAGATTTTATTATTTAAATATTCTGCTTTGTAACGACGTACAGCTGCCAGTTACGCAACGCGTCGTCACGATGCCGATGAGTAGTTTTAAGTAGGTGTAAGTAGTTGTAAGTTGAAGAGAGTTTTGGAGTGAGTTCTGTTGGGGAGGCAAACGAACGCGCATTGAAGCGCACCCTCCCATTTGTTACATTTGGGAAATAAAACACAAATTGTACACACGGCGAGCATCATATTTGAATGGTAACTGCGGGCTCACTTTATTCCTGGGGAACCAAACAAAGAATTTTGCAGCGACTCTGGCCGACGAGTATACCCGGGCCAGAGCAACGTTACAAGTGGCGCCCGAGCAGGGACCCCAAAATAAAGTGAGGTTAAACACGACCGCGACCACGCGGCGAGTTGGAAAACGTAAGGCCAGAATTGTTGACTCGTGATGGTGCGAACGAGCTGGGTGCGAGCGTTGAGGAAGGAGGAGCTGATCGAGCTGCTGCAGGAGTTTGGGATCGACGACGCGGGCACCGTGGAAACGCTGAGAACACGCTTCGCCACGTTTGTGAAAGCGGCGGGGCCGGTACACCAGCCACGCCTAGAACTGCTAGCGGCCCTGTACCGCCGAAGGCACAACTGGAGGTCCCCAAGCGAGAGGAAGATTCGCCCGGCATGCACCTGCCGCCTACGGAAGCTGCGGCATCGCCAAGAACACCGACCGAGCATCCCAAGACACCATCAACGGGACCATTAGCGGCAACAGCACCAGCTGGGGCTGCACCAGTGACCGTGACCGCCACCACCACCTATACGACAGAAGCGCCAGCGGCGCCATGCGTGACCACGAACCAGATCGTGGCCACGACGGTGGTAACGACCCTCGCCACACCGTCGATGGTCTCGACGGCCGGGCCGGCCGTGTCAACCGCATCCGCGGATGGTTCGGCCCACTCGACAATGCCACGAGCGGTGAGCCCTGAGCACGGAGGTGGCACAGTGGGGAGTGCATTTCGACGGCAGCGGGGACCCACGAGCATTCTTGCGCAGGCTAGAAGAAAAAGCGGAAGTGAGTGGGGAGCCGGTAGATAATTTGGTGCCGATGTTACCAAACATTCTGGAGGGCGCGGCACTGACGTGGGACCGCACAAGGCGAAACTCGACCCAGTCGTGGGCAGAGTTCCGCGCGGAACTGCTAGAAGCGTACCCGGCCGCTCCTCACGTTGAGCGGTGGCGACAGAATGCGCAACGACGCTTTCAGGGCGAGTGGGAGTCCAGTGCGACCTACGTCCAAGCGATGCTGGAATTGATGCTCGATGCCCGGAGAGGAGCAGCTGAGGCTCATCTACCGCAACAGCCGACTAGCGATCAACATCAGGATACGACATCAGGATGTCCATACTGTGGCAGAATTCAAACGGCAAGCAGCAGAGCTGGAGGAGTTGGGCCTGGTTCCGGCCTGTACCATTGGGGCAGGGCCATCCCAGCCAGCGTTCATGGGCCCACGGGGGTTTCCGATCCGACGTCCGGAGCCAACGGATACGCAGCCCATATCTGGTGGTGAGTTAAACAGGCGAGACTTTGTCCCTTTACAGACTGCACCCGCGCGAACAACAGCAACCGGGCCCGAGATGCAGAGCTCGTCGGCACACCAGGAGCGGTCTTGCAAACGCTGTGGTATGGCGGGGCACGACAACGAATGCTGCCCAAACCAACGACAACTATACTGCTGGGATTGCGGTAGGCTGGGCATACGAGCGAACGAATGCTGTCGCCGCAGAGCGGGAAACGCCAGGGGGGCTCGCCACATACAGCCAATAGGCGAGCCCACGCAGGAAAACTAGTGGTAGAACGCTCGCGAGTGATGGTGTTGAGGGTGGATTGCGGTGGTCTTGCCCTCGACGCGGTGGTGGATACGGGAGCCACCCGCAGCTTCGTGAGCCCGGCGCTGGCACGACGCTTGAGAAAGCCAGGTGGGGAGAATGTACGGAGTGTAGAGGTGTCGATGTCGATGGCCAACGGCTCGCGACAAACTGTTTGCGAGAAGACGATGACGGCGATAACAGTGGACGACAAATGCATCTTGGTACCACTGTTGACACTGCCGGGCTGCGAGGACGAGCTCTCACTAGGGCTAGATTTCATCAGCAAGGCCTATGGTACGTTCACCGCCGGCAGCCACAAGCTGGAGATGCGAGACGTGCGTGAGCGACGACGGCGGAGAAGGCGTCAGGCGCGCCGCAGAGTACGATGTGCGGCATTGGTGACCACAGAGCCAATTGCTCCATCGGCGGCTACGCTGACAGATGAACAGGCTGCTCAGGCTGCCACGTTCCTTCAGGAGGAATTACCACGCTTTGAGAACATTGTGGGCGTATCGTCGGTGGCGACACACACGATCCGCGTGAAAGACGACAGGAGCATTAAACAGCGCTACTATCCGAGGAATCCGGCGATGCAAGCGGTGATTGACAACGAGGTTGACGAGTTCCTGGCGAAGGGCTGCAT